ATTATTACAGAGGAAAAAAATAGAGAAACAAGACTCTTTCCTTTGTTTTGCAAATAGTACTAAATTTGTTGAACACCAAATAGAAGATCACAGCATAAAAAGTTAAAAGACTCATCAACTAGGACTCAAATGAAAAACAACAGCACAGAAGTTAAATCAATAAAACAAAATGTGTTAATAGAGGTAGAAGGAAATTGCCTGGATTAATTGCAACAACCTTAAACATTGTCCCTTCCTACCCAAATCCATTCACCACACAGAAGCCAGAGTGATTTGAAAAATGTAAACCACTGCCTACTCTTTTTTTTTTTTTAATTATAGATTCATCGGAAGGTGCAAAGAATGTACAGACAGGTCCAGTACATCCTTTACCCAGCTTCCCCTGATGTAAATTATTTAGTCACTTCTCATCACCCTGTGGAGCGTACCCAAAATTCTTAACTTGACCCCCAAAGCCCTTGGGATCTGCCACTGTCCCCACCACTCACTGAGTTCCCTCACAGTGACCTCCTTGTAGTTCTTCAACTGAGCAAGGATCCAGGCCTGCCTGGAGCTTTTTCTTCCCCACCCACCATCACTTCTCTGATTCAGTGACTTCATCCCTCAGGAGTCATCTTAGTTATCACTTATTTAATGAGCCTTCCTCAACCACTCATTCCAAGTGAGTCACCCTTCATATTTTCCTTCATAGTACCCTCTCCTCTTCAGTCATAGCCCTTGAAATCTAGATTGTTTGTGTATGTTTAACTTTTTATATCTGACTCACCTCTAGACCCTGAGTACAATATGGTGAGTGCTCTCTCTATTTTGATTGCCACCCAAGCCAAGCCTGTTACCTGAACATATAGGACCTTCAGACTAAATTATGGGGCTGTCCACATGTTAGTTCTGTTTCTGTCAAGTAAGAAAGAAACCAGATCATCCTGGTACCTCTCTGAATTTTAGCCTCTTCCCGTTCCTCTCCTCCCCACTCCACTATCCTTGAACTTGTCCTATGCTTCACCCAATTACAATAAAGGCACTTAATTTCTTCTTTGATTTCCCTTCAATTACAGATTTTGACTAGTAATTTATTGAGTATATATTGAAACCTGAATTTCTGATTATGTTCCCAAGCACCAAGCTTGCTATAATACAGAGAAAAGATGTTATCTCTTGAAGAGAACTGGGAAAGTGATTATTTCTGGCAGAAAACTTGTTTTGCTTTATAGAGTTAACACTTCAGAGTCATTCATGAATGAGTAATGAACTCAGGAAAGATCAGTGAAGCATTCCCTTATTCCTCTCAACCTATTTTGCTGAGAACTGGATGAGAGCAAAGCTACTAGAGGAGATGATGATTTAGGAAAAGAGAAATATGGTTGCTGTAACAGACAATCCTTGAAAGAAGAAAATTGAGCGATTCATCTAGTTTGCTCTGAGTCATTTTTCAGGCTTCAATTATGAGTCACCTAAGTAATTTTTTCTCTGCAATTTAATTCCAATGTTTATTTATTTTATTAATTTTCAATAGCAAAAGAAAGTAGTGTCCAAAAGCCAAAGTATATTTAAAAGAAGAGCAGTGAAAAAAATTGTCAGTTTTTGCTTTGGTACATGACATGCAATTTTAATTTAATGCCATAAAGCTTTTTTAAGATATTGTTTAAAACTTGAACATATTCTTATCTCCTTTCTTGATGGACGATGAACCGTCCTCTATAAAGTTTTTAATTATGTAAAATAACTGCAAATTAAATAGTACAGTCAAAATCAAGCATTAAAAATTGTGGTGCAGGCAGTTGATGGTGCTGGCACCACATTGTTAAGTGTGTGGAAACATACATCATGTGGACAGGTAGAAGAATGAGGGTCACAGAAAGCCATTGTTTAGTGACTAGTGGGATGCCCAATATCTAAGCCCACAAGAACCTTCTGGTCCCAGCATCACATCCATCTGCTAAAGGAAAGCAGCCTCTGCTCTAGGCTTCCAGCTCAGCTTCTCTTCGAGGACGTGGCCAACCGCAGTCCTGGGCAGTTATCCTCAGCAAGTGCCACCACCTGGGCTGCGGCACTCCAGTGATGGCCCAGCAGCTGAGTTTCTTGGTTTTTGTTTGTTTTCACTTTTGCTTTTTAAATAATTTTCTTATAAGCTGCACACCAACAAGCACTGTGTTCCCTTATCACAAAAGTCAGCAGGAAATATTCGGAGTCAGGAGAGAAAAAAGTCAATAGACTTAAAATATTGACAGCCCTGGCTAGGTGGAAATCCATATGCCTTGTTAGAGATGTCTGTTGAACTTTTCAGTCACATCTCTTATGATTTTTGTTTCCAGGAAGAGTCATTCTCCAGTCCCTTCCGCTGAGACTGAATTAATAATGCATGCCATCTTTCCTTTGGGAAGTTCAAAATACTTTTTGTATATTTAGCCAAACAGAGCCAGAAGTAGAGAGTTAAGTTCTTTTCAAGTGTAGCTGCCAAATATGAAAGCCACCTTGCTGAGTGGTAAGAGAACCCTTTAGAAGACAAAACCTGGGGACCGAGATGGCTGCCCATCACCTACTGGGTGCTTTTTGTGAACGCTCCTGGGCTGTCCCTCGAGGAGAGCACAGATGGAGGAGCGAGAGGAGAGAGAAGGAGTGCCCATCCTCTGAACTGTGAGAGGGGCTCCTGGTCTCCAAGTCTTCTCCAGGCTTTTCACCTCTTTTCCCTGCCTCATTCTACTGCCTCATTCTGCTGCCTAAGGTGTTCTCATCAAGAGATAGCTCTGTGGATAAATTTTCCCTCCTTGAATGAATTATATGACATAGGAAAGCCAGGGCATTTGGGCCTTAATTCACTGGAATCCAGGGAAGAAGGAGGGGCCGGCAACCCCATAGATTGTCACAGTAGCCTGGACATTGGCTGACTAGCTCCCTCATCATCCCATTTAGGGCAGAAAGAACAGTTTGGAAGCTGACACTTGAGGCCCATAACATAAATGAATGGTAAAACCTCTCCCAGAATGGAAGCCTTTCAATGCCAAGTTCAACAGATTTTATGTTTTTTCCCGAATCAGTGTGGCTATGTCGCTTGTGGAAATTGTTGACATTCCTGTTATTAATTTAGTTTCAGTTCCATTTGCCAGGCCCAGAAGCTCATGTTCCCTATGCCACTTCTGTCAGGTTTCTTTCATTTCTTTGCTGCAGTGTTCTCCACAGAAACACCCTTGTCATTTTAAAGGGACCACTCCTCTGGTGCAGGGAACCTTTTTGATCTTCAAAAGGCTTTAGCATCCCTGGCCCCAGGCATTAATTGCCAATAGAGATCCCCCTCACTATTAACACAGAAACACCCCTACTCAATTCCAGACACACTTGGGATTTGGAGAAGGGGTGCCCCAGTTGAGAATGACACAGAGGCCTGGCTAAGCCCTTACTCTACTTTGTAGTCCAGTACCACCAATGCCTCTTTTCCCCTGAACACATCCCTCCTGTCTTTAAAGTTTTGCTCAAATGTTCGTGGGAAGGATTCCCTAATTTATTGATTCATTCAACATTTACTCATCAGATGTTTACTGAGCACCTGCTAACAGTCCCAGGCGCTGATTGAGAAACTGATGGTCCACTAGCCATTAGTTATCACTCATATCTGCACCTACCTCCATTTTTTATTTGCATATTAATTCATAAGTTTCTTCAAATCATCCCTGGACCTCTATCATGACTTTCTGCCTAGGGATTTAGCTTCTCCAAGACTATGACTGCTTCCTCTGCTTTTCCTTTATCCCTCCTGGAACCATAGTCTCTGTGATAGTCTCCATGTGGTAGGAATTCAGCAAGTGTTGGACTGATTGAATGATCCAAGACATGCATTTATCCCCAGAGGTAAATTTCATTTCTGCAATAAGAATCATGATTCTGCTGGGTCATGTTTTTCTAATCTGAAGATTCTCTCTGTTTTGTCTGCTATCAAAATGTAATGAGGAATAGCATGGGAAACATTTTGGTGTCCTTGGTAAATAGTAAACTTGACATGTGTAGTGGGCAAAATGAAAACAAGCTCTATGCACGTATTTCTTGGCACACCCCACGTAAGTCTCAGTCTCACAGGCCATGCATCGCTCCCCTCCTAGTAATCACTTCTGAGACATAGAACAGAGTGTGCCCTCTGCCTTCTGAAGTCTCAGAGTACTCAGCCACAGAAGGCAAATGGACAAAAAAATAGACTACACAGACAGAAGGAAAGTGAGTACAACACCGGGGAAATCTGATGGAGCAATGGAGGCCTTTTATTTTCTTTTTACTTTTTATTTTTTGTTTTATGAAAATTTTCAAACACATAAAAATGTGTAGAACAATATAACAATGCCCAATGATGTGTTCATCATCACCCTGTTTCAACAGTTATCAGTCCAAGGGCATTGTTTCATTTATATGCCTACTCAGTCTCCCTTTCCTCCAAATATATTATTTTAAGGCAAATTCCAAAATCATAGAATTGTACCCATAAATATTTTGATATGAATCTCTAAAGACTCTTTTTAAAATTGCCACAAAATCATTGCCTAAAAAAATCCAAAATCTCATAATATATCATCACATTTCCAGTCAGTGTTCCAATTTACAATTGTGGTAACTTTTTCAATAAATCTGAAAATTGGGTCACAATTACACTTTCATTTGGAGAGATGCTATAAAGGAACCAAAACAGATCTTTTTTTTTCTTGCAGGAAAGTAGAAAAGTGATTTCAGGGAGTACAAATGAAATTGTTCTGATTCTAGGGCAGGGGACGGGGTGTCTCCTGAGTACCTCCCACCTCCCCAAGCTCGCCCCCTGGTGACAGGGAGGCACTGCAAGGGTTTAGTTAACTGTTCAGGAATGTTCATTTCATAACATGACAGAGCTCTTACTGTGTTGCTAATAGTTTAATATTTGGCCACATGGCAAAAATGTGTGTGACATGGGCCTTTTTTTGAGTGTTGATTGAGCACATAATTTAAAAGTCTGAATTTTAAATAAACATCTCTGCCCTTTCTTCCAGCAGGCAGCCCAGAGAACTGCTCTCCACGCTCTGTCTGACAGGTATGTTTTGTCATTTTTATGAACTATAAATTGCTTTATGAAACATTGAGCCCTATTTATTGTGGGATATAATTCATAATCGGATTTTGTCCCTCAAGCATCTGGGAACTGGGATGTTAAACGTTTTGCATGCTTGGATTTGTCATGCCCGTGTGGAGTTTATTACTGCAAAAATCTCCTTGTTGTATTTCACAGAAAGTGTGGAGAGTCCCTTGTTGTTCAATGAAACAAGAGACAAGGAACTGGAGGAAAAGGCCTGAATGGCGCAGTAAATTCTGAACTCTGGTATTGGTTGAGATCTAAGCTCATTTTTCAGCAATAAGTACTTCATTTATTTTGAGATGCTTTCTTCAGACTTTTTCCATATCATTTCCCCAGGAGCTATCTGTCTTTTGATGAGATTCTCTCTTGAAATACTTTATGCATGTTACCCAGTTCACAGTCCTGAGTGCCTGACTTTTAACTCCATGCTTCGGCTGATTTTCCTGACTTGTATTATTGAATAAGATCTATAAGCCTAATCAAGTAACACACTCAAACTGTATTTCACATCCAGCTTTGCTGTATAAAAATAGTTGAACAGGGATCTATAGTTACCTTCTAGAATAGATCAGGCCCTTTTTTATTTTGGCTGGGTTTTTTGTTTGTTTGTTTTTTTCACTTACTAAGGTTGGGTGCACGCTTGTGTGCATGTGTGTGTGTGTGTGTGTGTGTTTCTTAAAGAATTACCAGGAAGTAAAGAGGAAATCCTCCACCCTGGCCCATGTGACTCAGTTGGTTGGAGCACCGTCCTATAAACTCAAAGGTCACAGGTTTGATTCCCAGTCAGAACACATGCCTGGGTTGCTAGTTTGGTCCCTGGTTGGGGGCATGTGCGAGGAGCAACCAGTCAATGTTTCTCTCTCTCACATCGATGTTTCTACCCCTCTCTCTCTCCTTCCCTTCCCTCTGAAATCAATGAGCATGTCCTCAGGTGAGGATTTTTTTAAAAAAAGATGAAGTCCCTGTTTCCACAACTGAGGTTCTTACTGTATCAGAAGCAGCTTTCAGTGTTCTTCCCCTAGCTGGCTAGTGGTTCCCTGGCTGGTGGGCCCCTCGGTGTTACCTCGTGAACTGTCACCACCCTCCCTTACCAGTTCTTTTTTTGTGAAATGAGCAATAATTGTGTATACAAGATCAGTTCAGCCTCTCCAAGGTAAAAGCTGTCACTTGGGCAAATTACCTCTGCACATGGGTGAAGAGTGTTTTCTCTTTGGTGGCAGGCTGAACCCAAGTATGTTTATTTCAAGTGAAAAGCCTGCCCCAGGTAGCGCAAGCGTGCGTGCTCAGAGTGGCTGCCACATGACTTTCTGCAATTGCTACTGGGGTTCTCACAAAGGTTGATGACTACAGTGCTTCTGAGTCTGTTGGTAGGAGGAAAGACTCTGGACTAAACGTTTAAAATCTGACACAGTACTTTGGTTTCTTAAATAAGTGATTCCTTCAACAAAACACACTGAGAAGCAAAAGAAAGCCCTCAGTTTACAATTGCCAGTGGTTACAAGGTTCCTTTTCAGGATATTGAAAATGTTGTAAAATTAGATTGTGGCAATGGTTTCCCAACCTTGTAACTATGCTAAAAATCATTGAATCTCATATGTCAAGTGGGTAAACTTCATGCCATATAAATTATATTTCAGTAAAGCCACATGTATAGATGCAAGTTGTCATAACCTCTGGTGGAATGAATCAAAACCTATTTTAGGGAAGTATGGACCCCCTTTGAAGACCTGGTTGCAAAATACAATCAGAAATAGGAACTAGGATTGACAGATACATTCTGAGGCTTTTTCCCAAAAGATACATAACCCTGTCCTGGGTAGAAAATATGCATGGACTTTCATGACGAGCAACGCTATTCCCTTTGACTTTCTTCTAACATTCTCTCCAATTCCTCCCTGGTCAAGCCCAGTAGTCAGTGAACTAGTAAGTTAGCATCTTAGGCCCTGCGGAGTGAACAACACTGTGAGAAAAAGGTCCATCCCCTAGAGACAGAGAAATGTCCCATTGTCATTACTCTTCTTATGCATTTCTCTATCTTCAAATGTAGTAAAGCATTTCCCCCCTTAAGTATGACAGTTTTTCTGTTCTATTGGGGGAGCTTGGCTCACTTCAAAGTAATGAGGTGACTTTGCTCTTCTCATAATGCAGTGGTTAGAGCTATCTTCTCTGTGCTTTTCCTACTTTGTTTAGTGCTGGTCCAGGGCCACATGAATAATTTCCAAAAGTGAGAAGCATCTGTAATCATTTGGATGTACAATTTAAAACCCTCCTTCAAAATAAGAACTTAAAAAACACACTAAATTAATTGGATTTATATTTTTCTAGTTTCTTAAATTAGAGAATATTAACTTATGCAGGGACAGAAGTCATTTTCTATCACCTTACTTAGTCTGTTGAATAAACCAGTATTTTCCAGAAAATGATTGGTGTGACTCCTAGTCAGACCACTGTATGAGTTGCCTAGTATTCCGTCTATAAGAGGAACCGAACCACCTCAAGGTGGATGAAACTGAGTAAAAATTCACTTCAGGTTCTGACCTACCCAAGGTGGAGATCTAATCCCAATATCTCTGGCTATGTATAACCTCATATTCATCTAGTATACATTCATTTACACAAATTATTCTAGTTCCTAAACTATTATTTTTCAGCATGTTATACCTCTTTATATAAAATCCCATAGGCAGCTTTTTTACTTTTACCCTAGAAAAATAAAAAAACTTTTTAGTGTTGACATGTACCCCTTCTGGAGTTGACCAGAACAGCCCAGGCTGGCTGAATTCAGGCCCGCACAGGCCCCTCGTTTCAGCACCCTGCTGGTGTGCTCAGCTCTGGGCCCATCTCACTTCCATGTAGCCATGCAACTGCCTGGAGTACCCAGTGGACACAAGGACGTTTGATACAGGAGTTAGAGCTGTTTTGTTTAAAGATGTGCAACTTGATGGTAAAATAGGACTTGGTTGACTTGGGGTGTGGATGTTGAGTTTACAGCACAGAAACCCTGTTGTTGTTCTCTGCCTCCCAGAAGAAAGCCTGCCTCCAAGTCTTTGAAACTGCATCTAATGAGACTAGTTATAAGGCAAGGGGGTGGCATTTTCCTTTCCTTTCTGGGGACGATAGGAGGCTCACCCCTTCGCGGTGTCAGAGGAGAGTATCCAGATGTCTTCTGAAGGCCAATCTTGTATGTCTTTTCACTTCTCCAGTGTCCTGGTTTAAATAGGCATTGTAGGAGAAATTCAGTATCTGGCAGTTAAGACTGTATGCTTTAAAGTTTAGTGAGTCCATGATAGCCAATACACAACCTTGATAAATTAAAACTAGGATATATTTCATTACCTAAATTTAAAAGTCATCTGTCATCAACCCCAAAGAAAACCTGTGGCCTTGCTTGATTTTTTGCCTGGCTGGGCTTCATTTATAATTCAGCCAAAATGGCCAGAGTGTCCAGAGGTCAATGTGGCATCACGGTGGCAAAGCAAATCTGGGCTTCAGCCCAACCCACTTGCCACCATGCAGCGACCAGAAGGATTACGTGGAGGAGGTGGGATGGCCTGTTTTTCATTCTTTTCTACTGTCAACTGTAGAGTGTTTTGCTTACTTTATGCCATTGAGTGTCAGCTGGGATACCAGAGGTCCAATGATGCCCCAAATAATGAAAAGAATCAGGAGACCAGGACAAGAAGAGGGGGCAAAATATTCATTATGGTAAACAAGCCAGTTAAGAAAATCTCAATTTGCAAAAGGGCATTGCTTTCTACTTACTCCTTATAATGTGCCTCTCAAGTGTCTGTTCTTCTTATGGATGGTTGTGTTGGGTTGGGCAGAGAGAGGCAAAGGAGAACAGGGATACATGGGCCTGAGGCTTACTTATAACGGTGTATCTGGTATAGCCACACTGCACTGGGAGAGCGCTGCATTGCCAGGAATGTGGAAAATATGCAAAGTGCTGGAGGAAAGGGAAGGATGTGTGTGCAGCATATGAAGTGCCTCTGGATGTGATTAACTTCCCTTCCTAAGTAGTAAATAGCAGATAACTGTGATCAAAAAAAAAAAAAAGGATCCCTGTGATTTATCAAGCTGAGCAACTGTGCATTTGCAGAGAAGCTGGAGGTCAATCTTGAAATCTAGGGCAAGACGAGCACGAGGACACTGCGAAGACTCAGAAGTTAATCATCCCCTTGGACTGCCTCCATCTGTCTCAGAGAGACAGAACCTCTGCAGAGCGAGCAGAGATGCTTTATTGCAGCCGATCAGGAATTCATACTGGCTGTGAAACCTCAAGCATCATTTGCAGTAACTTGGGTTTTATAAAAATGGAGCCTAATTTCATATGAATAAATCATGTTCAGCTAGAAATATGAGGAGCTGGGGGGAAAAATTGTGCTTGACTTAAAAAAAAGAAAAGAAATGAACAAGAAAGCCAACGTGAGAACAGTTGTTGAAGCGATGGCACTTGGAGGGCACGAACAGCCGTGTGGTTAAATTGTGCATATAATCATCTTCTGAAATGTCAGCCTGTGACTGCAGAAATGGCTGCGTTTTTATAGCCTTGGAGATACATCACCAGACTGTACCCTGTCAGCCCATCTGGCAATATTTCAGGTCCAGAATCCATTTATATTGAAACCCAAACAACTACCATTGATTTATTCATTTATGCCACAAGTATTTATTGAGCACCTCCTGTGAGCTAGCTGTGTACTGTGCTGAGCAGGGGTGCGGGGGTGAGTCGGGGCAGCCATGTGCCTCCCCTCAGGCCTTCACCATCCAAAGGGGTGCTGGCTCGTGCATTTGCTGCTCTCTGTTTTGCTTTCTCAAATAAATCTCATCCATCAAATGTCCTCTTCCCAGGGAGAAATATAATGAAATTAACTAAGTGAAGAATAACATAAAATGAAGAGGTTTTACCTCCCAGTGAGCCTGGTCTGCATCGGAGAGCAGGACTGGAAATGTGCCCA